CCATTTCAGTCCGCACCAAAGAGCACCTTACATCCACCAAGAAACGAGATGCCATCTCAGCCCTGTCTGAACACCTCATCAAGTGTCCATCCCACCACATCCTCTGGGAAGATAAATCCATCCTTGCTAAGAACCTACCCGAAAACAAGCAAAGAAGAATCCGTGAAGCCCTTGAAATCCACCGCCGTTTCCCTGAATTGAATAGAGACACTGGACTTTACATCTCCAAAATTTGGCTACACTAATCCTATTGTTAATTACCTTGTTAACCTTCCCCCTCTTTCATCTATCTTTCTTTATCCCTCTCTTGTAATAGTATTGGCTTCTGCCTCTTTGTCCTTGCCCACTTTATTGTCTGCACTGTTCTCAATGTTTTCGTTTTTCTTCTGTACATGGCTTCCATCTTGTTATATATCCTCATGTTTACCCCCACTACTTCATTTCATCTGATGACGACACGTGTAAATTGTGTTGAAACGTTATGTGCTTTGTTATTAAAGAAGTGAGTTATACCATAATATACCCCTTGTGTTTTTGTCATATCTACTGTCCACTTCTATATGTCGAATTTGAGCTATTTTTGCCCATTGGAAGCAGAGTTATTGCCCTTGCTCCAAAATCTTGAATATGGGAGGTAATTTGGGAGAGTATAAAATGAAAGTACAAGATATAGGTCAAACACACTTAACGGGAGGTTATTGGATAGAAAACTTTCATTTTCTGAATTTAAGTTCGTTTACTACAGGAGATTAACTTTAAAAATTTAAGATAGTGGACCACAGCCATATACGCCCACCATGGCATGCGGATGGTAAAAACGAAACATCCATTTTAAGTTTCATCAAAATCGGTTGAAAACTAAGAGAGTACTCAAGTACTGTATTGAATATTATTACCACAAAATGGCTGTCAGGAATTGATTGTATACTTTTCTTATCTAATGATTTGGGAAATGTTTCGGATATGACGGAAATATTCTGGAAAATATATAGGTGATCTTACATTTCAAAGTCACTTATTGCAATCATCAGGAAAACCTAAAAAAAAGGTATTTGAAAGGCAAGGGGGAAAAATGTGTTCAGTTCAAATAATAATTTTAAATATTGAGCAAATTTAGTTAATGCATGTAAATATACAGTTCTAGGCTTCATCCTTAGACCGTGTCATTTTAAACAGATTCTGGTTCCTGGTTATGATGAAATGTAGGTCACATCGTCTGTCAGAAGATCAAAGAGGTTCTTGATTTGAGCAACTCACAAAGGGAATGATGAGGGTAATATCATTTTTTGGTTTAAAGAAACACAGTGGACTATTGTGTTTTTTGTTTATTTTTATAAATGGGTGAATTTGTTACGTTTTGAATTTTTTAATTTCAAAATATGAAACACCTTTTAGTTTTCGTGCCATGAATGGTATCCAGTCATAACGGTAAGAAACCAAAACGTTAAAATGGCAACAGATCAGGTCCTGTAGCTTCGAGGGGGCAAAAAAATGCCAAAAGAAAAAACTTCCGACCAATTACTCATATCATCACTGCACAATATAACTAAACATCTCACGGCGAAATTATCGAGCGCACGACGGGGAGTGTCGAGTAGGGGTCTATCCTGAGGTTGGTATCCACCTTTATTGAGTAGCTAAAAAACAACAAATATTTGGTTCTTTCAAAGAGTTATTGTGTTGTTTTTGATGATTGAATAATTGATAGGATAATTAAACTATTATTAAATTAACACATTTAACTCTATATTGATTGAAATTATTGGAGAATACTACTAATTTGTAAATTATGAAAACATTTTAAATACCATCAGGATACTATTTTTAGATTCCAGGAGTGTCAGCAAATTCACATGTTAAAAGACCTGTTGTCGAATAATTTTTACCAATGAATATATTTGTACCAATGTTACAATTAAATGTATTTAGTATTGTTGATAGATATTAAAAATGAATGGCATGTCATCTCTGACTAACTGGATAATCTGGGGCATTTTACTAATGATAATGGATGTAAAGACAAATTCAAAGGGGAATAATTTTTCAGCAAGGTACTCTAATTCATGCATAAATCTGAGCAGTAATAAATTCAATACGGTAGGTGACAAAGACACTTTTTTTTTGGATCTTTTTGAGAATTAGTAGCAGTGGCGCCATACCGTCTTGGGCCTGTCTTTTTCTGTAGTTACCTTGATCAATCACAATTACCATCTGTTGTGATATTACTCATATTTCTCATCTTTTGATCTGAATTAAACTATTGTATATTAAAATAAACAAAACATCGACTCAAATGATAATTTTATTTGTATAAAATATATAAAAATATTTGTTACCGTTTTGGTCAATCTGTTACTGTTTTGACTATAAAAATTTGTTACCGTTTTGGTTTGTTATTGTTATGACTGGTATTCCCTTGAATATATCTCTCATGTTTGTGTAATTTGTATTTTAATTAATGTTCGGAATGTTTTTTTTTCATATAAGAAGCCAAATTACGACTTTGTTAAAATAAAAAATAAATAAAAAAACTTGACCAATTCATGTTATTTATCTCACGTTTCTTACAATTATTAATCTATGCATGTTCTATGTAGACCTCTCAGCCCAACATTTTTACAGATTGCCTAGGCCCAGTAGGCTTTTATTGCATTTTTGATCGCTTCTTCTTATCATTTCTTCTTATCGGCTCTCGGTACAACAAAGCACAACAAAGCGAAAGGCGATCATAATTTAATTGAAGGAAATGTAATTAAAATTGTGAACTGCACCGAAATGCAATGGTGTAAGAAATTCCATCGTTGGCATCTTAATATAGACGCTTCAACAAAAAAAACCTAAAAATAACACATGATTTTCCTTGCAGTGACATATATCAGCATATGACGTCATCAATTCAAGAAAATGTCTTGAAGATTTTAATCTAAATTTGCACAAAGTTTTATTTAAGGGAACAAAATTTGCCATAAAAATAGTTTGCGTTTTCAGCCCAATTTTTTCACAACCGTTAGCTCACAACATCAAAAGATGACTGTGCTAGTTTTTATGGCCGAAATCGGTAAATTTGGTATATTTTGGGTTAATTAACATCTAAACTTAGCTTGCCTGCAGTAGGCTAGTCTACAATTTTCATATAAGCCTTGATCCAAGCCTCAGATCACTTAATCAATATTCAAAGACATGTACATGTAGAAATATGTGGAAATTTGAATGGATAGTTCTAAAAAAGCGTCTATGCCTAGAATTAGCCTAGATTAGAGGAAATAATATAGGCTAGGCCTATGGTCTATCAATGTTTTTCAACACAGACCTGATAACTTATTATATGCCTACGCCAGGCATACTATTTTCTTGATGAGAGAGGTTTTCGATTGGGCACGATTTGAACTAATCGACCTAAGCATACATCATAAAATTGCCTATATAGGTTCACAACATTCACACCAAATTTGGTCAAAATCCATTCAGAAACCAGCTGTCTAACGTGATGCAACCGAAAAACCTCCCGAAAACCTTCTGGAAAACTCCTGAAAAGGTACCAGCTATCCACCATACTTTTGATACATAACCAATACTTTAAGTTCGGCTCTAGTAAGAGCTGTGCATACCAATGAAAGTTAAAACTAAGACTTTAGCCAAAGTTCGACTTTAATCAAGGTAAGAGCGCTGCATACGGCCCTAAGAACATAACCATTGAAGAATTAGAAGAATTCAATGAAATTTTAGATAAATTTGATGTAGAAATATCATTAATAAAAGTGAAAAATTCCTAGTTACAAAATAGATACTTAAAAAAATATGAATATAATTTAAATTTTAGAACATTTATATCAAATGTGCTATTTTCCAATGTTATTAAGGCTATCTCTGAAAAATTTTCAACATTTAAAGGACAAATTGAATTAGATGGAGAGATAATTCAAGATGGAGAACACAAACAAAACATGGAATTTGTAGGCTTTAATGCCACTACTTATCGCAATTTCAAAGAAATAAAAAGATCAAAAAAGGGTAGTGGTTCCACCCTACTCAAAAAGATAAATGAATATGTTGGTATAAATTGTTACATACCAAGAAATTTCAAGATTTCATCAACAGTTTTTCAAAATCAAGTAGAAAAGGAGTTATGACAACTGCTAGAATTAGTGAATAAGAAATTTAATACTTATTTTCAAATTTATATGCCCTAAAATAGACATTTTCAACCAAACATAGTATCCAAGGAATTAGATTGAGTATTTTACTTACATAAATCACATTTCTGCTCATAAGAAGAAATAACAAAACCTTAGGCATTAAAGAAATAGAAGATAATTACGATGAAAATGTATGGAGAACTTGTAGAGATGTTAATGCAGTACCACAAGTTTCACCTCTAAAACTAAATTTTTCCAACAATTCACGATGATTGTGTATACGCATGGGATTGCGAAACTCATTGCGAAAAAGAAACGAATAAAGCAATTCCTTATTCTTGCATTTTAATTAATTTAGAAAAACTAAGAAAAATGTTAGACAGAATAAAACATAACTTTCCAGATTTAAATGCCACTGATAGTGTTCCAGAAGAATTTTATAACAAATTGAATATAGTAGAAATATTTGTGGGTAAGGATTGCATTGATCAAATGTTGCAAAGTTTAGGAAAAGTAGATCAAAAAAGATAAACATTAATTTCTCAAAACGGAAGCGGTTTTGATAACTGGATCGGCTTAAAAATGCAAAAAAACTAACACAATGTCCACTAGTAACAGCTAGAGGCATTCTATCTCTACCTTTAACTAATTCATTCACTGATAAATATTTACAAAAAAATGGGAAAGACAAAAACAAATAATTGGCAACTCTAATTATCTGCAAAATATTAATTTCAACATGAATAATCTAGTTAAGTGGCATGGGGGAATCTACCAATGAATTTGAGAAAGATCACTGATATTAATATTGCAAAATACACCGAAGATTATTTATTTTTTATCGTGCACCTTTCACATTTGTGTTCAAGTACACTGTACAATATAGGCCCTAATACATAAACAAAACTAAATACATGAAATATAAAAAATAAAGTAGTAGGAAACATAGAGCATGAACAACAAAATACAAATAGACAACTTATGATACATTATTAATTTTAAAACTTTAACTCTATGAAAAGGCCAGAGTAAAGAGATGTGTTTTTAATTTCTTCTTAAAACTATAGACCGAGGTAATTGATCTTAAACTAAATGGCAGATTATTCCAGAGTAAAGGCGTCTGGACAGAAAAAGAACGTTGCCCATAGGTAGCAAGTTGTGCAGTTTTTGGTTTAAGGAGCAGTTTGTTGGTACTATGTAGAGTCCTTCCTGGGGAGTACATTTGTAAAAGCTCAGTTAGATAGACAGTGGCTAAATCGTTTAAACATTTGAAAGTTAACAGAAAGATTTTAAATTCTATTCTGTATTTTATAGGAAGCCAATGTAAATCAAATAAAATTGGTGTAATATGGTGATGGAGTTTTGTTCTAGTTATGAGGTGTGCTGCCGTATTTGGAATTTTAGTCAATTTTTTTAGAGGTTTTTCAGGAATGCCAATAAGAAGTGAATTAAAATTATCAAGACGAGATGTTATCAATGAATTAACAAGTGTTTTTGTGGCATCTTCAGATAAATATTTGCGGATCTTACCAATGTTCCTTTGAGACAGTCCTGTAGTTCTTTAAAACATTGGGATCCAGTGTTGATTTCTTAATCAAAGGGGTCACATTAGCAATCTTAAAAATATCTGGAACGGTTGATGTAGCAATATCAGTAATAACAGGAATAATGTCAGGCAGATTATCTTTTAGAATATTAGTTGGGAAAGGGTCTAAGGTACATGATCTTGGTTTAGATGCTTTTATAACAGTCCCTACAACGTCATCATTTACTGGACTAAAATAACTGAATACAGATGGGTTAGATAGGTTGTCAAAGACATCATATTGAAAATCAAAATTATAATTAATACACTCCTAGTCTGATCTTATATTGGTTATTTTGGTACTGAAAAATTCTGAAAAAGTCTAAGCAAGTTCACAATTACTTTTTGTGTATGAAACTACTAGAAATGTACTAAACTAATGGCATTTGATGCTAACGGTTTGTATGCTTCCGCCCTGTCAGATTTAGACAGTGACTATCCAAAAGCGGAAAGTGGAAGACCGTTTCTACCAGAAGAAAATAAAGAATTTGTTAAGCTCTTTAATGAGTAGAAATTCTGACCTAGAACTTCTATTTTAAATGTCTGGTTTGAATATCCTAAAACCATGTTCTTCCAACCCATACCAGCTAAAGATATAATTACTTTTACGAACAAAGAAGATAAAAAGGAAACTGGTACGGTACTAAAATCAGGTTTAGAAATGGTTTCTGTTCAGATGTTTTAACATCGGTTGATATTCAAGAAATAGTTAAAGCTGGTGGACGAATTATTAGAATATTAGATGGTATAGTATACAAAGAAAATTTTAAAACTCCACCATATAGAGATTATATTTTAGTTTTGAGAGATCTAAGAAATAAATATAAACGAGAAGGTAATATTGTGGGTAGTAATTGCATGAAATTATTAGGTAATTCCTTGTATGGTAAATCTATTCAGAAGGATATAACTACATCGAGACATCTATGGAGTGAATCAACTTTAAAAGCCAACTTCAATTCACATGTCAACTTTAAAAGCCAACTTCAATTCACATGTCAAAAGCTATCCTAAAGTAAATGAGACAATATATCGTTGAGATAAATGAAGAAGAAAAAGAATTTGACTGTGTACCTCCTAAATCTACACGACTAACACCTAGTCATTTGGGGTCATTCGTATCATCTCACAGTAAAAAAATAATGAATAATTTTCATGTGATAGATGGATTTTATAAACCGGAAATATACTATACAGATACTGATAGTTCATGCATTTCGTCTAGCAATTGGGATAAATTAAATGAAGCTGGGTTGGTATCTAAAATGATTATTGTAAAGGAAAGAATGATTATGGTGATGGTGGAATTATATATGGTTTATATTTAGCGCCAAAAGTCAAATATAATATCGTTCTAACTTCTGAAGGTATTCTAAAAGAAAAGAAAACGTTTTAAGGTTACTGTAATGATAAGATAAGTGTAGAAGATTAGATTCTATTAGCTAGCAGACATGATGTGACGAATGAATATAAGAAAATATGGGAAAAGAGTTCCACCAATGGAATAGTTATTCCAAAGGATGATGATAAACAAAAGAAAGTTTTTAGAAGTTATCTGAATCTTGTTAAGAGAAAGGCACCGGACAGCGAAGGAATCATGTATCCTTTCAATCAATAAGCCTATTTTTACCATCTTTGATTTCCAGATTTATATCTTTAATCATAAAGGAATTAAGTGGTAAATATATTGTTTGAAATGGTTTCTTCATAATTCTACATCTACAGTGAATGTTGGAATGCTTTAAATAATCTGACGTTTGTTTTCATTGAAAAATCCACCGTATCAAATTGCAGTGAATATTTATTACATCAATATCAATCTCAATATTAGCTTTGTGTGGTGCAAATGTTGATTCCTTATATATTTCTTTATCAAAGCCTAGTAAAGTATTTAATGAATTTTCTACATTGAAATCAACTTGACTCTTATTTCTTAATATCAATTTTATTTTGTTCAGATTCAAATTACCTTTGAATTCAATATTGTTTTTACTATTTACACTTCCTCCATATTCAGATAGGTATTCGTTAATGGCTGCGTAATTATACCTTCCTGGTAGTAAACTTATGGTTTTGAATGTAACTCCATTATCTGTTGATATTTTTATTTGGTTATTATTTTCGTTGATATTTATAAAGGAATTGTAAACAGAGAAATACTTTAATCCCAATTCATATTCTTGATTGCGATCGAGTTCATACTCATAATCTAGAGACAATTTAATGTCCGATTTATTTGAGGTGATAACGAATAGTTGTTCTTTATTTGACATTTTTAATCACGTTTTTATAATCATTTTTATCTATATTACCTTCTCTAGGATTCTTTTTAATATGCAATTTACTTCATTATATTGTCTGTGTGATTGATGACCTTCCTTCATTGCTGCTATTATTATTTGTAATCTATTAAGTAGTTCCTCTTTGTTGTTCAATAAAAACGTTATACCAGATACCATATCTTCGAATTCGTCTTTTTCTTGCGTGATTGAATTGTCTTCAGCATAATCATCTGCTTCGTAAACTTCATATTGATCATCTTGATCAATAACTTTTATATGTAGATCAACTTCATTCGATCTTCTTGTGTCGGGTCCTGACTTTCTAATTGCATGTAGAATTTTTGAGTATGCTACTAAATCCTTGTAATCAGCAATATCAACATCCTCGCCATTCATTAAATCTATTAATCCTCTTGTTAATGTAAATATAAAGTCTTTTGTATCGATTTTGAATTGTGGTGAATTTCCACAAAATTTTATTCTAAATCCATTAAACAATAACCCCTCTTCATCAACGATTGGTGTAATACTCTTTGATAAATCTGGGTCAGGGTTTGAAAAAAGACGATTTATATCATCTAATGTCCTAATTATAATACCACTATATTTAATCGGTTTTGAATCGGGGTGATCTATATGGGGTGTAGGTTCTATACGAGGTGTGGATCTATATTATAAAGCTAATTTCTTTATAATGTCCTCTTGAGTTTTTAATATTGGTTGAAATAGAGTTTGTAGATTTTCTGTTAATCCAAGTTGTTGTCATTTGTTATTTTCAACCCGTGACTTTATTTTATTCTTAGCTTTGATATATTGTCTCTTTCTTTTTAAAATATTATTCCAATCGCTACTCATTTTTAAAGAAATAAAATTAACATATGCCGATCATAACTCTTTCACGCGCAGGTTTTCTAGTATTAACAAATATATATCCATGATCATCTGGGTTTCTCCATTGAGCTTTATAAACCTCTTTGAATGTATCTCTATCCATTCTGTGATTTATGGACTGAATGATTTGAGATAAATCTTTATTGTTTAATTCAAATAATAAAAAACAATTTGCATTTTTTCTAATGAACATAGCATCCATCCCGTAAAAAGATTGGGATTGGTGTATGCAGTGACAGTTGTGATGTCTTCCTCTCCTGAAGCATTCTTGTTGAGCAGCTTAATTTCTTTGTGCTACACAGTCGTCAAACAATATTAAGTTCTTTCGCTCTCTATCAATTTTAGACAAATCTAAATCATTAACATTTTTCGTAAGAAAAACTTTTATATCCGTTGGATTGAAAGATAGATTCTTTTCTTTAATGAATTTCTCTATGATATCTTTTATTTCCAATTCTTCTTCGTTGTCTTCATAATATTGAAATATGTCTTTCTTTGGTAAATATTCTAAAGCTTTAAGGAATTGATAATATGATTTCTCTGGTGTTGTTGTGTAGATATATAGAGAATCGAAATATAAAAAGTTTGGTTTTGTCAACATGTTAAAAATGAGATAAGTTTTACCATTACCTGAACTACCACATATACACATAAGCATTGGGTTATTAGGAAATATTTCTGAATGTTAAAATTTCTTTCCCATTTTTTATTATTTTATTTTCTTCTAAAAATCACTCCATCTCCTTTTCCAGTGTGTATGTTTTTAAAAACTATAGCATTACCCTTATGTTTAACTTTCATTTCTCCTGTTTCAATACTATCTACTAATTTATTTCATCCTTGTTTAACAGTTTGCTTGGTTTCTTCCCCAAATCGTTTTCCAGATTATTTTATTGTGCCCAATATATCTCCCACTCCTGAACCTCGTGCTTCCTTTTCCATTGCTAAGTTCTTAAGCTTTTTTAGCATCAGCTGCTTTCTTTTTGTTGACAGAACTTACTGTGGCAGATATCCCACCAGTTGCTGCACCCACTGCTGCAATACCACCAAATATCAAAGGTAGTAGGAAAGGTAAAAATCCACCTTCTTTTGCATTCGCTTCAATTCTTTCTAAGTCTATTTCGTCTCTGACTTTACAATATTTATATTTATCAATAAGTTTTTTTAGTTATGTTGATTTTTTTACCATTGAAAGTTATTACAGTTGGGGAAGTTGTTTCAATAGCTTCTATTATTTTCTTAACTAAAGTTTTTGGTTTTGAGGGTGTATTTTTTATTCAATTCTTATCATTCTTCTATCTGCCATTTTAATTAAATGTTTTGCTTCTTCCAATAATAAACAATAACCAGTCACATCTCCTTGTGTTTTTTCAATATGAATATTTATATTTACTCCTGTTTGAAAAGATCTTCTTGGTGAGCTGATAGATCAAAACAGAAGATTGGATGAATATACTCCTTTGTGGTTGTTAAAGTTTGGTTAGGATAATTATCATTGTTTAATCTTACTTGAACTTTATGGATTTTAGGATCTTGATTTTGGTTCATTGCCACTCTTTAGAGATTATTGTTATTTGTCTGAGAGTCTGGTAAGTTCTTGAAACCAACCTATTAAATATTTTGCTGGTTTAATAGTATTGGTGATTGGCCAAGTAGTGGATTCTCCAGTTAAAGTCATGCTTCCTACCGACGATGAAAAGCTATTTCAATATCTTTAGTCAACATGTTGAATATTCTCGTTGTACTTCAATTGATGGTGTTAGGACAGGTATATAAAGTTGGAGATTCGTTATTTCTAATTCTCTCCAAAGAATCTTATCATCATTGATTTCTCTTTGTAGATGAATTTTATATGGTTATCCTATGGAAACTTTTCTGTGTTCCAACAGACGGAATAATGGATATAACTTCCAATTTTCGTAATTACCCCAACTATTTTTATCACCGGAATTGTTGTACTTTCTATTGTGTTTCGAGCAATAACTCTCATTCTAGCTTCATCTGCATCATTTACAACATTTTGTACTGGTTCTTTTAAAACACTTCCATCGCCAACATCGGGTATCCAGCCCGAAACTGAATCATAATTTTTGAGATATAGAACTGTTTTCAATATTGAGTCAAATTCCCCAGGGTGTTTTATGGTTTCTATAGTATTTGAACCAGCTTCCAAAACCATCTCGCTAAATAAAGATGGAAAAAAATTGTTTTCGAACGTTGTAGTAGTTTGTGGTACACGATTCTGATTGGGAGTTCCATCTTTTATTTTGAAATCGCATCTGAAAAAGCATCAGAAAGAAGTAACCAATTTGATAATGAATTTATTTCAAAGGTTATTCTACCACCATCATTCAACTGGGATTTAGAACCAACAATTGGTGAGATGATAATACAATCCTCTTTTTTCTTATTAAATGAATAATGAATTGGATCGTATAATTTGAATATTAGATCTAGTATGTCATTTTTATTTGCCATTTTTAAGGTTTAAAATTTGAGTAGAAATTGTGGTCTGTTTTTCAAACAGAGTTATCTTTCTATTTCTAGAAAAAGAGACTGTATTAATAACTCTGTTAAAATGAGGCTATAAAACCAGATGTTAAGCAATCAAGGAAGTTATTTTGTATGTAAAAGGGGAATTTAATATGCTCTGTTATATTTCGTTAATTATTCTATCTGATGAAGGGATTATAGGATACTGATTAAGTTTTTTTAATAGTTCAAGATATTGGACAGAGGATGTCTTTTTAAATTGTGTTTTTGCACATGTCTAAATTATCAGTTTACTGAGTTTAAGATTTAAGTGTTGTTGTAGTCAATGTCATGAATTGAAGTAAAAGTTGAAAAAAAATTCTTTTATTCATGCATTAGAATGAAATTTGTTAATTTGTCAGACTTCAAAGCCTCATACTTAAATTTATGTCTGATTCACTGCGACCGCTCGGAATAGCTGCTGTACGACTGTGGTGATCCTTGTCTCAAAAATTCAGTTTTTTGTTGCAGTGTTTATAAAAAAAAAATTTTCTGCATAAGGCCATACCAAAATAATATTGTGTTCGTTGGGAATTCCGTACCCGATTTTTCTGTTATTGAAATTTTATTTTTAAAATTAAAAAATAATATTCCGTATGTATCAAAAGAGCTCCCGTATGTAAAATTTTGAAAAAAGAATTTTTAATTTTAAAAAAAAAATTATATTGCCCGTATGACCGTACCTCTAAATTGATCAGATAACATGATTGTTTAGCTCTCATTTTTAGTTTCATTTTTATTTCTCTAAGCCTAAAATTTGGTAGCAGGAGTTACAAATTGCGCCCTCTATTTCCGTTTGTCAGTTTGTGGACATCGTGCGACAATTATAGTAGAACATGTTCCAGCTGTTGAAAGAGTGAGTTCGTACAGTAGGTTAGGCCCTTCGCTGGAGCAAGAATGTTTTCTCGACGACCGAACGCATCGAAATTCCGGAAGTTGATAATTATCAGAAATAGGCATGGCCGATGCAGTGCTAGAATTAATATTTGTATTTGTCTTTTTTACCAAAATGATTTTAGTAATCAAAATTAGGTCACACCAGAAACTTATTTTGCCATACATGGCGTTTGATGTGTGATGAACTGAAATCCAAGTTTGTGGACTTTTTAATTAACTTGCCTTCTCATTCTTCGTCTGAAGAACCTGTTTGTAATACTTCCAAAAGTGATATAAATGTGTTCGATTTTCTGATGGCATCAAGAAAGACATTAATGTTTCCTGAAAAACCTACACCACCAGTCTTTGACAAAACCTTAACTGGACCTCAAAAACTATTTTGTGATGTGCTAGATTGGTGCAAAACAATTGATGATGGCTGGTCAAAAGACCAGTTAATTTGTGCAAAAGAAATTTTGTGGAAGATTACAAATAAATACTATTAATTGTTATTTTATCTGAATACATTCAAAATCATCCATGCTGAAAAATTTTAATGGTATAAAGGGACTTTTTTTTTTTTAAATTAAAAAATATTATATCGCACCAACCAAATCAATGATTACTAACTTTTAGACATTTTTTTTTTAAAATTAAAAAAAAAATTTCGTTTGCTCGTACCTTTTTTTTTT